AGGTTGACCTGGCTGCAAGAACAAGGCTTCAATTCCCACAAAGGTCTGCCAGAGACACAGGAAGGTTGAAGTTCAGTATTTTTTATTTTACTCACTTTTGGAGGATGTTTCTGTTTGAAGAGACCTTAGAAAATCATTGCCCTTGCTCTTCAAAGTGTGTTGTGTGGAACAGCAGTGCCAGCCTCACCTGGGAACAGGTGAGATATGCAGAGACCCAGTCTTCCCTGAGACCTGCTGACCCAGAATCTAGAGTTTAACAAGATCCCTTTGATTTGTGTGCACAGTCAAGTTTGAGAAGTGCAGATTTAGTTCTATAGCTGCCAGAAACATTGTATAAGAAAATATAGAATTCATAGACTCCCTCCAGGCTCTGGGAGCACATGTGAGCAGAGCTCTGGCCACCACAGTTAAAGAAACCTACCCTGTGTGCTTCTGTTTGGGCTTCCAGTTCAGATTTTATTAGAGGAAAAAGATCTGTGACTGATAAATTAGAAAGGGAGGGAAGGAGGAAGGGAGGAAAGGAGAATTGAAAAACAATAATCTAGTTCATTTCATTTTCCAGATGAAGAAAGTGAGTACCAAAAAAGGCAGTGACTTTGCCTAAGTTCTGTGCTGGGAAGTGATACCAGCCTCCTTCTACTTCCTCACAGTTCTTTGAAGAAAGCAGCACAAAATACCAGAAATTTTCAATCAACGACTTGACAAGTGCCATTATGTATCACAGGTGTCTTCTATCTGGGCCTTGGATTTCAAAACAGCCCCTTTCCTTTTACACTCCTGCCTATAACTTCTTTTTAAGGGCTCATCTAGCCAGACAGAAAGCACTCTCTGTGTTGCTCTCTGAACTGGAAGAGAGGTCTCCAGCTGTAGCTTTGTGTACACTACTAACTGAGGGTACCCTCCAGGTTTGTTTGTGGGTTTTTCAGCTAATTATCCTGCCATGGACCATTGAGACAGATCTGGATGACTATTCAATTAATAGTGCTGAAGAGTAATTAGGGAGAATTCCTACCCGCACAGCCCACACCAGTGTCAACGCATCCCTGTGAACATTCTCTTCTGAATGTGATTAATCACATAAATAATTCTCAGAAATGAAATTAGAGATCACCCACGCATTACACCAGTAATGTTTTAAGGCATTACATCCTGAATCTCTGTAATGAATTAACATTACAGTCTGGTTTGAATTCTTCAATTTCCAGCATGCATCCTGCACTGTTTGCAAGTGACCCCGTGGCCTCTAAGAGTTTCTGTAACAACTTGAATTAGTCATTCTAAAAGGAGCATCTATGTTAAAATGTCTAGGCCTCAAGAAAAAGTACAATATATCCCTTCTCTAAAATGCCAGACTGTACTCAGTCACACTTGCCTGTTCATGGCAGGGCCAGACATGATGTCCAGGTTTCTAGACCCTTCTGCCCAAGCCTTTCCCAGTTCACTAGGTAGCTAGCTCATATTACAGCATCAATGTTAAAGATTTTTCTGTGAGAATTAAATATTTGGACAGTCAACTGAAGTCATAGAATTGCCTCATTATTTTCATTTGTAAGAAAAAAATCTCTGAATAGCTAAAGATTGATGTAGAAAAACAATTTCAGTTAGGACTGACTTATATAGATTTCACTTAAGTTTAGGAGTTATAAGAGTTAATAAAGGGAAGCAAGAGGGACGGGATCAGGAGAGCACTGAGGATTTTTTTAAATTAAGATATTCTCCCCAACTTTGAAGTCAATTATCTCAGGCAAAGAAGTATAAAGATCCTAGGATTTTAGAGGGCAAATTTAGCTATCATTTTACAGAAGATGATACAAAGGCCCAGAGAAATCAAGTGATTTATTCACAACCACATAATTGTTTTGTGATATGGGATGCCATTGCCTATTTTATTGTGAACCTATTCTAGAGAGAAAGCAGAGTTTTGATGAAGTTGTTGCTCTTTATTTGGCACTAGTATGGCTAAGATTGAGATGTCAAGAAATTGTAAAGTAATATAAAATAAGACCAAATTTTTAAAGCCCCAGTTAGTTGATGTGTGTTAAAAATCATTATAAATTTTAAATTATCATTTTGGAAAATACCCTTTCTTTTCATCTATAAAATGATAGGAGGAAGTATAAATGTTCGGTTTTGCCTGAATAAAATAGCAGTCTTGAATAATTTTGTAACTGGATTATACCTCCTCTATTTTGTTCATTACTAGTAATGAAATAAATGAGTGATATACACTGATAGTTTAACCACATTATATGAGTGGGAGATTCTTTAGTGATTTTAAATATTGTTGGGCTATTTCTCTTTTTTCTACGGGTAACAAAAAATTTTTAAACATCCTTGTATATCCAGAGGAACTCAAATCATTCCATAAAAAAGGTACTTACACACACGTTTATTGCAGCACTATTCACAACTGCAAAAGCATGGAACCAACTGGGCTGCCCATCAAAACTTGACTGGATAAAAAAATGAGGTACACAAACACAATGGAATATTATGCAACCATAAAGAAGGACAAACTATGGACTTTACAGTAACTTGAATGGATTTAGAGTCTATCTTTCTTAGTGGTTTGTCACAAAAACAGAGTACCACATGTTCTCACTCATAAGTGGACCCTGAATGTTTACCATAACACTATAAGAAAGGGATTGGCAGTAGTGGGATACTGCTGGGGGTGGGGAGAGAGGTGCACGAAATCAATAAGCATACCTGATCTCAAACCAGGCAAAGTGGGGACCAAAGGGAGGCCAAACTTTACCTGTACGATAACCACTTTTAAACCTAATCCTGAATTGTACCTCACATCTTAAAAATTTAAAAAAGGAGAAAAAATAAATAAATAAAAGTAAAACCTCCTTAATGGTATATAATTAATTCAGAAAATACGTTTTTATTGTCATAACAGAGGAAGTTTCACTCCCAACCTGCTTGTACTTCTATGTTGAAGACGTCTGTGATGAGCACACAAAGTACATGATGAATGTTTTCCATAATCCTGCAGTCTTTTCACCTAAGACAGAATTATTGACTTAGTAATTCTGACTTCTTAACAGAATACTGAAGTGGTTGACAATGTTTTATTTTTAAGAATGAAATAAAACTAGAACCATGTTCCCAAATGTTGGGTGAGTTATGCACAAATCACTCAATGTTAAGAAGTAAGTTCCATAGGGGAGAAAATTAACTTTGAAAGTAGGTAGATTTTATTTTACTTTATATCTTGGCTCTGCCATCTGCTAACTTCCTATGTTTGCAAAAAAATGTAAATGACTGAGTTGTGGATATTAAATGAGATCGTGTTTGTGACTTACCTAATACAAAGCATGTAAGAGCTTGATACAATGTAACATTCACTAGCATCGTCAATATGCTCATTATCTGCACTCCTTTTTAATGAAGAGTTACGTGTAGCACAGTGTGTCTAAATGCTATAGATCATTTCTTATAAAGTATTGCTAGGTCACAGGACTTTATTGCCAGCTGAACCCACAGATCAGGTGGCCTTGGAAAGGTGGAGATTCCAAGCCAAACCTCAGTGGTACTGCTTGACCAGGGACATCATGGCTTTGGAGAAGCCCAAGCTGTGAAGTCACTGAAACCAGAATGGGGGCTAAAAATAGTGAGCACTGCAACATGTGGTCTTTTTCTTCCAAACAGTGATAACTATAAGGTACAAGTATCACCTCCCTAAAGATATTTAGTACCTTTCCATTGGTGATTATTTCAGTCCCACGATAGACACATTGTTTTGCTCTGTGACCTTCCTTTTAATTTTAACTTCTTTTGAAAAATAAAGATAATTCAGTTTCATGTAATAAGTCTTAATCAGTAAATATATTTAAGGCATTCTGATCATATAATGTTGGAGACAGCACATAATATTATCAGTTAGCAGAATGTAATTATCTTGTTTGGTATTTTCCTAGAATGTAGAGCTAATACTTATTCCTACCTGATGAGAAAAATGTCTTTCACAGTCATTAATCATTGACATTGACATCAAATTGGCAAATCTAGAAAGATACCAAATGCCAGGATATGTACACTGATGTTTAACCTTTTTTTCACATTAAAATTCTTTGGATAGAAATAAACTCCCTTTGATATTTATTGTCTTATTTACCCCAAATTGCAGGCACTTTGATAAATGGAGTAATAGTTTCTAGTGTCACTGTGGCTATAAAATGCATTTTAGTGTCTTCTGCTGTTGTAACTATATAATTCATTTCAGCACGTCTATTTGTAAATCACAGAAGGTTTGTTTGATGGACAGAGTGCTGGAGAGAAATGCTCTCTTTTTGTCAGTACAAATAACTGTGTTTTAGGACTAGCGTCTACTGCTAAGTGTTACTCATAGGCTCAAGAATGTCCACACTCTCAGATGAAGGGCTCCATTTTCAGGGTATGACATCTTTTTTTTCAAGCACAAAAAGTCATATATGAGTCTGCTTAACGAAATAAATAATTTAAGATGTTAAGTGATAAAAAAAATGTTAAGTGATATTTCTTTTTTTAGCTTATTTGCTAGAAAGCCTAGCACCTAATTGGAAGCACACTTCTAGGAATTATGCAGAATTTTTTGACCTTAGTTTTTTAGGGAATTAATAAACAAAATGAAGTGATATTAGTATTGACTTCTAGAGAAGAGAGTGTCAGTGGCTAAATATTAAGATGACTTTTTCATTACAGTTCACTTTTGCCTAGTTATATTTTGGCACTTTTCAGACATACGTACAAGGCATTGAACCTTGCCTTTGAGAAGCTCTCAGTCCTTTAGGGGCAGGTGTGACTAACAGAGTATCCCCTAAAGAAAGTTTAAATAGTGCCATCACAGAGATGCAAGTACGGGTCTTTGAGGCCTAACAAAGGGAGTACTTAATGCAGTAATAAGAGATAATGTGTTACTAAATTTAGTCAGAAGTTGGCAAATATATTTTTCTGTAGACAACAGGATCTTACTCTGATGCACATTTTTTTTATTTTTGCATTTTCTGTTTTAGAGACGTCCAAGCAGATGGCCTGCTATGAAGTTTCGAAGAGGTTCTGGACATCCTGCTTATGCTGAAGTTGAACCAGTTGGAGAGAAAGAAGGTTTTATTGTATCAGAGCAGTGCTAAAATTTCTAGGACAGAACAGCACCAGTACTGGTTTACAGGTGTTAAGACTAAAATTTTGCCTATACCTTTAAGACAAACAAACACACACAAACAAAGGAGCCCTAAGCTGCTGTAGCCTGAAGGAGACGAGATTTCTGGACAAGCCCAGCCCAAGAAGGGCAAAAGAAAAACTAAAACATATACAAGATACCATTTACACTGAACATAAAATTCCCTAGTGGAATGACATCTATAGTTCACTCGGAACATCTCCTGTGGACTTACCTGAAGTGTGACAAGATTGCAATGCTTTTGGCTTAGGTGCAGGGTTGCAAAGGGATCAAGGACAAATAATAATAATAAAGCTTTAGTTTACAAGGGATCTATACCTTTTGTTCAAATGTTCTTCTCTGATGTCTCAAAGATAACTGTGTTCCACAGCCTGAACTCTCTCACTCAAAGAGCAATGACGAATGTTTCCAAGGTTGCTAGAAAAAACAGCTCAGGCAGGAGCGAAAACACAGACAAAATAAGAGATTTTCTATTGTTTCAAGAGAGGTGTGTGGCACAAGGATTTTGTTTTTCTGATTGGTCTAGATCCATCTGTACCAACAAGTTCATTACTTTACATGATGAATCTTTTATCTGTACAGGAGGTTCAAACTGTGTCTGCCTCTTCCTTGATAATGAATGCCCTTTCTAGGAGCTGTGACAAAATTTCCAAACTTTTAGCTAAGGATTAGGGAAGAGGGAGTAGCAAATGAGACTTTCTGTTCTCCTGCCTCAGAATAAAACATCTGACTTGTTTTAAGCAGCATTGCCTCCGTTTTCCAACTGTGAAGTCCCATGAAGCCACAGTTGCTCTTGGCTGACGGAAACAAAAGGAAACAGTACAATGACTTCCTTAATCATTTTTGAAACAAAAATGATAAGGGATTTTAAACATACTTTTTTTAGAAAAAAACTTGTATGCCATTTCAGTACTAAAGACCCATTTCATTGTCGATTCCTGTCTTAAGAAGCCATTCAAGTCAGCATGGCAATAAAAGAATGAAAGAACCCTGCTGAATCATACAGTAATTTTCTTTAAAGCACATAGTAGTTACATAAATATATATATAAATATATTTTTGTTTATAACTAACACAAGGCAGGCTCTTGTGACTCTAAGAGTGAATTTTGTCATCAAGACAAAACAAATGCAAGATGCATCACTGCATTACTTCCATAGAGTTGTAAAATAATCCTTAATATTAGAATATTTTTATGTCACTGAGCAAAAGTGGTTCAATTAATTGCAGTACCCATCATGTTCCTGCCTATTTGATCCACTTTTTTATTCATATCAACCCCTTCCCTCCCTGACTAATTAAAACAAATGCAGAAAGCTCTTTAGACTGAGCTGTCAATTGCCCTAGAATCACAATCCAGATTTTGAAAATTCTACAAGAATCAAGAAAGGAGAGGTATCCCTTGAGGAGGAAAGTGGTTAATATGTATACTGAGCGTCTAAAGTTTAAATTCAAATACTATGTGAATTTCATCCACATCCCGGCCCATGAAACTTATACATTCTGTGCCAAGAAACTGTTGGTTTTCGAAAGGTACGGTGTTCGACATTTGCAGATTCAGGTCTTGAGAAGCAGAGATATCTCATAAATATCATTTTCATAGCAGCTTAGCATCTGTGCACAATGTCTACATTGGATGACCTCAGTCCACTAACAGAGTATCACACTTTGTCATTATGATTGTCTGACATGAATGAGTGCTGTATTCTATCCCATATATTTTGCTTTACAATTTTAAGTATCTGATGAGGGTGGTAATTTTCTTAATTCACTTAGTTAATAACTGCAAAAAAAAAAAAAAAAGCACTGAAAGCAAGGTGTTTGAAAGATGTGATGACAATCTCTCTGCAATAGGTATGTTTGGTTTATATGAAATACCACAACTTATTCTTGTGGAGTAGGTTGGGTCAGATAGCAATAACCAAATGACTTGCCAATGTAACTGGTGCAACTGGTATCTTACAAGTACATAAAGAACACATAGACGGCTTCCTTTTAGGATAAGATGATGCTTCTTTCACTAGCTTTTGTGGTAGGTGTGGCTTCCAATAGCAATTGATTGGCAGTTGTATAAATCTTGCATGTATATCCTTATACAATTCTTAAGTAGTAATGTTACTCTTACCCTTCAGAGTTCATCTTCCATTTCAAATTCAAAAGAATTGATAATTCTGTAAAAAAAAAAAAAAAAATTCATAAAACCCTCTGAGCTGTTCAATGAACCAAAGCATCAAGTAGTATGGAAGGAAAATTTTTTTGGAAGTAAAGTGTGGGAAAACTTAACAGACCTAAGAGTTAAAGGTGGTGAGAAGTGTCTGTGGTATATGAAGTATTCAGTGGTAAGAGGAAATGTTGACTGAATTCCTTTCTTTCATAAAACTTTCATTCTCTTTTATGCTTCTGGTTTGTTCTTGATGCCCATTTGAGCAAGCACACAGTTTCTAGAAATTCAGAATGGACACTGATACTTTGGACTTTACATATATGATGTATTAAAGAGGTTCATGTGAACATTACTGAATATACTATGAACATAGTAGAAGGAATAACAATAACAAGTTAGGAAGAATAAAGGGACACAAAATTCTGGAGAAATCAGAAAAATGGTGCTACAGAGAAATGTAGTTATGTCATATTAACTATTTGTAAAAACAGTATTCAATGATAGGTAAATATACCGAAAGTCAAGAAAAATATATTAAGCCAACGAGATGACACTGACCACAATAGTGGTTTGTGTATGAAGGGTTTGGACTTCAAGATATGTCAACACATAAACAACTAAAGATACATGATAAAGTACAATTGAACTCCAGCATTATTTTAGTTTGAAATACCAAGGACATTTGCTAATCTCTTACGTATAGCTTGTAGGGTTGTGATGTCCTGTGTTATATCCACAAGCCAAATGTGATTCTTGAAATTGAGATTAATTGAAATTAAATAAAATAAAAACTTCAACTCTTGATTCACAATGGCCACATTTCAAATGCTTGATAACCACACCTGTCTCGTGCCTGCCATATTAATCAACAAGAAACAATTATGTCATTAAAGAAAATCCTTGTAGATAATATTGTAGAGGTGTTGCCTTTGAATTCCTTGTCCCTGAAGAAAAAGGAAGAGGAGGAAAAAAAGATTTGGTAGTTATTGGGAATAACCAAGTTTTTTGTTGTTTTTTTTTTAATCTCAGAAAGGGTATGTAGAAATAAAAAAATACCAGCTTATGGGACTTTGAGACCCGACTCACAGTGATCTTGGGAAAATCACTTCAAACTCTATGAACTTCAGTTTGTAATTTTAGAAAATAAAGATATATTTTGTACTGTCTTCCTTGGAAGACTATCATACAGCCCAATTAAATGTACAGATGGACAGACTTTTAAAACCGTATGTCAGCGAAACCCATATAAAGCACATCTATTGGTCCACTACCAGCACAATTTGCATTCAAAGGAAAGATAGTTCATCAATCCAAAAAGCATTCAAAGACAATCAACTCAATACCTCCCCTGAGAAAATGCCAAAGGATAATGCATTCAAAACACACAGCAAAATTGCTTAAATTCCTTTTTGCCCATCTCGACAGTTCCTCTACTATTTGCTCTATGTAACATCTGCCCCGTCCTCTACTTCTCTCCCAAGGCAAAGAACTGGCTCTGCTCTTTATTGGATAGAGTCACTTGGTTTATCTAGTCGCTTCCAGTTTTCCATTTTATACTTTCCAGCAAAGAGAGGTTTCTCTTTGGAAGTCAACATCTCAAACATAAATGATTTCATATTTACTATATCCCCTTAACACACATGTAAAAGACTGTGATATTAAAATCTAAACATATGTGGAACTTAGCATTAAAAGTAAAATTTTGCACATGCAGATTATATGAAAGGAATAAAATTATGTTAAATTAGGCTAATATCCAGATAATATATATTCTCAAATTATTACGATGTATTCATTTTTGGCAAATAATTTTTATGTCATAGCCTCATGGATGAGTATAAATTTGATATTGTTCTTAGTGTCTATTACCCATTTAAGAAAAAAAATTTCTAGAGTTCATGACTTGGTTCAAGACATTTTTAATTTCATGATAAGACATTAATGTTTAAATAAGACTACTTGGGTTGGGCACAGCTGCTCATGCCTGTAAGCCCAGTACTTTGGGAACCCAAGGTTGGAAGACCACTGGAGGCCAGAAATTTGAGACCAACCTGGACAACAAAGTGAGACTCCGTCTCTACATAAAATTATTTTTTAAAATGAAGACTAGATCCTCTGGTTGTGGTTTATTCCTCCTGTGAAGTTCTTTTGCTTTGTATTCCTTTGGGCATTTTCCATGTGTTTTATTACAATATGCTTTATGATTTCCAAAGCATTGCTTTTGCTTCTACTTAATCACCTCCATCCTCACTTTTGGTGTCCACATCCATATGCCAGAATCATGGGATGTCATCTAATCCAACTTCTTCATGTTACAGAAAAAGAAAAGTGATATACTAATATTCTCAGTGTCAAAACTAAGTTTCAAACTTAAGATGTTTGCCCCATTTCGCTTTGCCTGCACCCCTTTGTCACCAATGAAAGCAAACTAAGCAGCTTCAAAAGCACAGTTCATCTAGAATCTAACTTTGTCTACTGTATTGACTGCTCTGTTCTTTAATGTGGAACATTGGATCAGTCTTCCTTCACCATCACCATGTTGCTGACTTTGAAAGGCTTCTATTATTATAACAAGCAGTGACTCCAAATTCTAGGTATGGGGGGGTCTTTGTTTGGTTTTGCATGTCCCCTCTCCCCACCCATGTCCCTATCTGTGACCATCTACGTTATCAGTACTATTTATCTTGCCATTTAAAATTTTCCTGCTTTTGTTTCATTTCTTCCCCAATGTACTTGAAAACGAATAATCTTCACAGCAGGTTTTCTGATCACATTTATAATCACAATTTTATTTGCTCTTCAAACTGAACATTTTTGTCCTAAAAAGGTTTTTGGTCAAATATTGTGAGGCCTGTGATATTAACTATTATATATTCCGATTACCTTGTGTTTGTAAAGCATTTTACATTTTACAGAGCACTTTGATTCTTCTTATTTTTTCATTTATTTAGCCACTCAGTTCACCTAAATATTTATTGAACACCTATTGGAACCAAGGTGTTGCAGTTTATAATGACAAACACAAATAGTAATAATTCGGGCTTGTAAACTGATAATTACAATCCAATACAATCCTCAAACCAGACTTTGCAAGCAGATAGGATCACTATTATTCTATCAATTTCCAACTCCAATTTTCTCTTCTACTTAAATCAGAAACTATAAAGTATTTGCCTGAAAATGTTTCTGAAATATCATACATCATTGCACGTCTGTGTTGTTTGCTCTGTTGGATAGAATCTGTTAATTTTATTTATGAGAAGAAAAGTCACTCAAAGGTGTCCCTGACCCAGCAAGACTTTCCAATTCACTTGTGTTCTCACCAATCAGATGCAGTGGTTTCAGTTGGACTTTCTTGCACCAATAATCTGTTGTGGCTTTTTGAATGACTAATATTACTGTTTTAAGGTATTCTGAAGCATCAGTTATCAAAGAAGCATTTGCACTTTAAGTGTGTGTGGTTGCTATGTCATTTATTAGATCATCTCAGGTTTTCTCAGCCTAGAAACTATTGACATTGTAGGTCTGATACTTCTCTTTGGGGGTAGGGGTACATTGTAGGGTATGTGGAAGCTTTCGTGGTTTCTTTTGACTAGATAGTGGCACACACACATGTTACCTCCCATTGTGACAACTAGATGTTTGCTGACATTACCAATATCCCCAGAAGTGGGGGTTAGGGGAATGGCTGGCTTAATTTCCTCTCATTAATACTATTATATTACCTAGTGAGCAAAATGTATCAGGACTGAAAAGAAAAGTTTTCTTATCATTTAATGTTCATCCTACATAGTTTTGTGCTCATAACAAATCTTAGAATTAGAAGGAACTACAAAAGCCACACACAGGTCAGTCACAATCCACCCTTATCCTAATCTGTTTCTCCATCTCTTAGTTTCACAAATTTATTTGAGAAAAGATCGAAAGGTAGATTTTTCTATGGAAACTTGGAAATGGACTTTGTTGTAGCTAGAAATAGGGTTGTTTGGTGATTGCATTTTACTGCCGTAATAGCTACTGCTATGATCTTTGCTTTCTGTACAGGGACTTGAAAATGAAGTCATACAAGTTTAGTATCTCAGAGACCTCATGTTAGAGAATTTTCTTTTGAGCATTTCACACATCTACACACACAACTTATTTTTTATTCTTTGCCTCAA